AGCGTCACTGGAGCGAGAAGGGGAAACCCGAGCCCTGCGGGGCAGGAGCGAGGGGCTGGGGCGGGCAATGATCCAGGTCTGACGTCTGCAGGGTTGTCCTCATTGCACGGGAGCTGGGCTGTTTGCAAGGGAAGAGAAAAAAAGGGACAGATTGAGACTTCAAAACGTTTAAAACATGAGTGCAAGTGGCTGAGGGTGTCAGCTGGTGCCGAGCAGATTTCCATCTGCTTTTTGATTTGCTTTGAACCCTGTCTCTCCATGTTCACTGCCCTGGGCAGGAGGAGTTGTTTTCCCACATCCTTGCCCTGCTGCTGCCTCATGGACAGACACACTGGGGATGCCCTGGGAGATCCCTGCTTTCTCCAGAGAAAATAGGAGCTCACTGGCTGCCCAGAGATCTAAGCAACTGTTTTTAACTTTTCTTATTCCAGCCTGGCATTCTAATTCCTCCCGGCATTGCAAGACAGTCAAGGGAGGTGATCATCCCGCTCTGCTCTGCACTGGGGCAGCCTCACCTCCAGTGCTGGGGGCAGCTTTGGGTGCCACAGGATTAAAAGGATCTAAAGCTACTGGAGAGTGTCCAGAGGAGGGACACAGAATTGGTGAAGGGTTTAGAGGGGAAGATATATGAGGAGAGGCTGAAATTGCTTGGTTTGTTCAGCCTGGAGGAGACTGAGAGGAGATCTCATCGCAGCCTAGAACTTCCTCCCAAGGGGAAGAGGAGGGGCAGGCGCTGATCTCTTCTCTCTGACCACCAACGCCAGGAGCAGAGGACATGGCAGGAAGATGTGGCAGGGGAGGGTGAGGTTGGCCATGAGGAAAAGGTTCTTGAGGCAGAGGGTGGTGGAGCACTGGAACAGGCTCCCCAGGGAGGTGCTCATGGCACCAAGCCTGACAAGATTCCAGAACCATTTGGTCAACATGTGCCCTCAGACACATGGTCTGAATCTTGGGATTGTCCTATACAGGGACAGGAGTTGGACTCATGATCCTTGTGGATCCCTTCCAGCTCACAACATTCTATGATTCTATTCAGGGGGAAACAGGGTATAACAGCAGTACCTGCCAGTGGCCACTGCAGCCCCACAGGCAGCCTGTCACCCCCTGTCCCTGCCCTGTGAAAGGGGACAGGGTGGGATAGGCAGCCAGGGTGGGAACAGTGAGCCCAGCCTGCTCCTCCTCTGTTTGCTAAACTGCAGGGATTAGAAAGTGAGGAACTGTTTTTTTAGGGGAGCGCTGGGCAAACTGGAGATGGCTGGAGGTTGCCCAGGATGGGATGGCCCAGGGGGAGGTGCAGTGGTCACTGTTGCAAATACAGAAAATCCTGTGTTCCCTGCACCTGAATTCAGACTTTTCTCCCACCAAGACCTAAAGCATCCATGGGCCTGATGCTCCTTTTGACTAAAATCTAATAATACAAAGGTAGAAAAAAAAAGATGTAGAGACTTTGTATGGCTACGTGAGATCTGTTGGTGGAAAACACAGCATTAGGATCCTCTCCCTTTCCCTGAAGGCAACAGGCAGAACAGATTTAGAAGATGACAAATAAAATCTCCTCCCTTGCTGAGATCTCTCCCCCAAAACACTGTCTGCCCTGCACAGCTCACTGAGGCTGGGGATTGTGCTCTCAGGTGGGGATGTTTCACCACCAAGTGACTTGTCTTGGTTTGTACTAGATTTGGCTTCCAAATGCATGTAAGTTATCTCCATCCCAAGGCAGGTCTGCAGCAGCATGTTAAACTAGAAACAACTACATCACTACCCTTTAAAATATTCAAATCAAAAGTGAGGCAAGACCAGAACTGCTTTGCTAGCTCTGAAATGCAGATTTGGCTCCTGATTCTGTTTAACCACCCAGGCAATGATTTTACATCAGTCATTTCAATCCCTAAATATTTCCACCAGAAATGCCAGCCCCCAGATGCCATCCAAGGCACTGATGGACAGCCAAGCCCCACACCCTGCATCCACAGCTCCCTCATGTCCCCCAGCCAGCTCCGCCTTGTCCTGCCTAAGCCACACCACCAGCTCCAGCCCCGGCACCCCTCCATGCCGCTGGCAGGGATCGGCATCCCATGGACCACAGCAGAAAAACCTACCTCCCCGGAGCAACAAGAGCTGTAGAGAAACTTCCAGCACCCAGGAGCTGCACAGCCTGTGGAAACCTCCTTGTACATTCCCTGAGGGCTGATATCCCTCCCTGGCCACCCCCCTGTGTGTGTCCCCTTGGCTCCAACAACCCATGTAGGCACATGCCACCACTGAGCCAGCATTAGCCTACAACAACAGCCTTTGTTCTCCCAGCACTGGGAACAAAAGCACATTGTGGGCAGCTGCCCGGGCTGGCGGGGACGTGGCAGCAGGGCAGCTTTGGAGGATGTACCCTCCACAGGGGCTGCTTCAGCTCTTCTGGCAAGCTCGTGACTAAATCCGCTCTAAACTCTGTTTTTCCTGCAAATTGAAGAAGCTGGGGGTTTTTGAGCAGTAAGATGATGGCTAAAACTAGAGCCAGGCTGCAGCGGGAGAAAAACAAATTCACAGTGGTTTTCCCCACGTGCTGCTGTTGCGGCAGTCAGGTTTGGGTTGATCCTGCAGAAATAGGTGATTTGGTTTTCCCAGGGGCGAACCTTGCCCAGGTCAAGCCCCCTCAATGCCCTGGCTCCATCAGCACTCCACGACAAGCCCGGGACTCGTGCCTCCAGGCAGGCAACTCCAGGTATTTGAAAATCAAATTTTGATTAATTTCTCTTCTAGCACTCACCAGTGATCAGCTCTCAGGCTGATGAATATCAGGAAGGTCTTAGGCATTTTTACACTGTTCCTCATGGTATTATGAGTTTATGTTTTGCAAACCTCCCAGCTCCACCTAGAACAACTGATTTAAGGTCCAAGTAATATAACTTTGATTTTCTTGTGAGCAGAGCTCTTTTCTTCTGCAGCAGTGCTTCTTTTTTCAATGCAAGTATTTTAAACAGTCAGATATTTTCCATTTCCTAGACAAAACTTCTAAGGTATAACTGGCAGTTTCTGTACTCTCCAAAATGAAATATTTGGTGCAAATTTGTCCTGCATTAAGCAAGTTCTGGTAGAGAAGAAGATAACCAGCAATTTTGTAGCACCTATTTTCCTGATAGTTGAAGACAAGATTTCTTATCAAAGGAAGAAATTTTGTTCTGTATTAGTGCTATTAAATATTTAACAGCTCCTGAGTAGAAGTAGATCTTGGAGTTTAAGCAACAGTACTTATTTTTATATGTGTATACAGATGCTTTTTCCTGTACGAAAAAGAATACGACTTCTGACAACTACTGAAAATGATAACATTGGAGAAAGAGAATCCATCCCTCCCCAGGGGCTACAGCATTCACTGCTGCTGGGCCCAGCTGCTCCAGATGCATTTCGATTCAACCTCCCCAAAGAACCAAAGCATCTAGGTCTGGAGATCAATTCTTTTCTTGTAACACAGCCCTTCCTGCTTTTTCATTAAAGCCTGGCTGCTGGTGCAGCTCTTCCAGACCTTTTCAAGCTACGTTTTTCAAACTATTTTACTGGAGGTCATATCTCATGTAGTTGTAATTATATAGCTAAGGCAAGGGCAGGGGGGAGAAGCCAATGCGACCGCCTTCAAAAAAGGTTCTTTGATTCAAGGTGAAGACCAGATTTTGCTCTATGGACCATAAAGCATTAAAAAAAAAAAAATCTTTTGAGAGCAAAGACAGGTATGGTAGAGCGTGCCTTTTACCCTTCAAGAGCTCACAGGTCTTCAGCTGGGAAAACACACTCAGAATTGAACTTTCCCTGGCTGTACCCGTGCTGCTGGGAGCACAGCTTTAGCAGGATTCAACACATCCAACAGGTACACTGCTGCCAAACCAGGGCATTTGCAAACCCCACTGTACAGAAATGTGGAGGATTGCCAGGGACAGAGGTCTTGTCCCCAGCTCAAAGTCAGCAGTGCAAATAGTAAGGCTATGGAGACTGGTCCTTGAGAAGTTTGGTTCACACAAAGAATTGCCTGAATTGGAAAAGCCCTTTAAGATCATTGGGTCCAACCATTAACCCAACACTGACAAGTCCCTGACTAACCCATGTCCCTCAGCACTATGTCTACACCACTCTTCAATCCCTTCAGGGAGGGGATTCCACCACTGCCTTGGGCAACTCCTTCCAATGCCTGAGAACCCTTTCAGGAAAGAAATTCTTCCTCAGAGCCAATTGTAATAATTTAACTAAACTGTCCTTGGCACAACTTGAGGCCAAGAGGATGGACCAAGGAGGAGAGGAGGTCTTGGTAAGAAACAAGGCTGTGATAAGGGACCCACACACACATCACCACAGCCCTGACAGGGCCAGGATGGCCAAGGAATGGGTTGTGTCCTGGGGAGCTCAGCACCATGGGAGCTTTGCTTTCTCTTAAGGTTTTCTCAGCAGTGCTGGTGTGCTGAATGGATGCTCCAGTGGGGCTCACTAACCGGTCCATAACTGGGAGCAAGCCAGTCTGCAGATGCAGGAGTTACAGCTGGGCAGTTTGGATTAATCACAGCACATTGCAAGGTGATGCAAACTGCTGGCAGACCCAGACACCGATAGGTGCTGAGCTCCCATAAGGGCCATAAAGAGCTCAGAGAGCAGATAACAAAAAAGTGGTGTCAGATTATTCATGTGCCCTATTATATTTCAATTAAACCTAAAATGAAGGATCAGAATAGAAATTCTGTTTACCTACCTCCTCATACAGCAAGGCTGAGCCCAAAACCATCACAGCAAATGAAAGGGACTCGGGACTTATTTTACCAAAAGCCACTAGA